GACAACCCGGTTTTATATTTCGGCTGGTAACGGATATTCTCGGTTTCAACATCTACCAATATAATTGGTTGTTTCTTGGTGCTTCCTTTATTATTAACTTATCATTTTTTTTTTATTGTGGTCATGCTGCCGTAGGTTTTTGCAATCTTTACAAAACGGCTGTTGGCAAAAAAAATCGTTGCTCTTTTGCATCATTATCGTGTGAAAACTTTTATAATGTTCATACGCAATGAACTAATTTTTTTTTTTTTAATTTAGGGAGGGTGGTATATATCGAATATCTCAGTGAAATGAAGAACGCAGTGGAACGAAACTCTGTGTTATTATGGATTTGATTTTTCTATCTTAAAACAATTCTTTATATATCAAAATACAAATACAAATACAAATCATTTTGTAAATTAAAATTTTTTATTTTAATTTAAAATAAATATATATATATATATTTTAATTAAGAATATAAAGAGGAACATTCTTGTTCCTAACAAATAACACTTTAATTGGAAAAAATATTTATATTGCTCCTATTAATGCTATTTTGATGTATTATAAACATTCACCTGCAAACAAAATAGGACAAAGATGGACGTGATTATTTCACAGTCATCTTAATAAATGACTAAGGTATACCATTATGAAGTCCTTTTTTGGAACAACGAAAACATGTCTAAGCTCCAAAAACCTTACCAAACATAAAGAATTACAACGTTATATACCATTATTTTAATTGAATCAGGTCTGTTCTTCATACAGACTTTCTTCCGATAGACGTCAAAGTTATTTAAAATGGGACAGCAACATTAACAACCATGGAAATCTTATTGTAACAATTAAAAAAGGAAGATATTATTTCTCACAGATTTCAAGACTCGACCTGCCGACTTTAACATGGCCTTTTCATTCGATTACTTATGATTGTCTCGGTATTTTCTCATTTACATGAGTGTAAATCAGTGCTTTGAAATTGACTTCATTTAATTTCATTAAAAATTGACTTATTTTTTCTTGTCCCAGTAAGTTTCTGTACAGGGTTTTAGTGCGTATACTATGAAATAATAAAATTAATTCATAATTTAAAAATTAAAGAATGCCAATAATATTTCCGATCTTCAATTATCAGGTTCAAGTAACCTGTTCAAATACAATTTTAGTATATATATATATATATATTTTCACGCTGTTCCTCATTGGCAGCTGACATATTTAAACTAGCGTTATTTGATCACTCCTTCTACTTCCTTCAATAATCAGATCGCAGGATAACTTCTGTACAGGATATCCTATCCTCTGATTGTATCGTATTGTACCAAATCGTGTACTGCTTAAATGACCTCGCTCACCACCGCTGCAAGCCTGCTCTGAACTGTTCAGTACCGCAAGTATTGTTCTTACGAATAGGGACAATTTGCCCAACTTTCTCCTAGCGAAAATAAATACATTCAACTCAGATTACTCAGAATCAGTAACCACCCTAGTGGAAAGAGCAAGTAGCGTGATCAATTACTGTTATACTTTTCTACTATAACAATAAAATAATATATCATTATGAATATATTATTTATTATTATTACAATTTACAAATATTCTTATTTGAAAAAGAATATTTACCCAGAACAATAATTTAAAAAAAAATATATCGAATTTTCGGCAAACATTTTGTATTATACTGTTTTATTTTCTTTCAAATTATTTGGGGGGCAACGCCACTATCCCCTCAACTATCAACGTAAATTTACTCCTACAAGCAATACCTTTTTTTTTTAGTCCCTCTAAAGCTCAAAAGACTCCTTTCTGTCTAATAATAGCTGCTTTAGAACTTGGTGGAAGACTTGTGTAAAGAAGCCTTCCCAGCGATAGGAACCACCCTGCGGTGGAACACCTGCTCTAAAAGTTTGCAGGTAGGGAACCCCTCAGCTCCTGCCGTAGAGTTAATGGTCTTCAACGCTACATATGTTGGCAGCCCCAGGATCTCGGAAATCTTACTCCCCTTGTAAATACTTTCTCAAGAGTTTTATTTCTTGTAGTGGGATTTTATGAGAAAGTTCTCTACATCTTTACTAAAAAATTTTTTTTTAATATTACAATCTATCTCAAGGACATTTATAATAGTGTTCACAGATCACATTCACACTCTATGTACAATAAACAAAATAAATTATCCCGAAAAATAATATATATAATAAATAAGAATAAAATAACCTAAAAATAAATAAATAAAAAGAACACATATATACCTATATTCAATAAATGAATTTAATTTTTTTAATCTTTTATTTTCTTAGTGTGGTAAATCAATTTTCAAAATTTTCACTTACCGCTCTACTTTGAATATAAATCATTTTCTGACAATGCTGGGCTATTATAAAATTTTTTGAAGTGCATTTTAAACGGAGCTAAAGCTTAAAGATTACAAATAACAAGTCATTAAGACCATTATAATTACAAAATGTTTATTTAATATATCGACGGTAGGCAATAAAAATCGAGTCACTCCATCTGCTTTTATAAACCACACAATTTTCTTTGCTTTTATGATCAATAATAGTTATGAATTATGAACCACAGAATGACTAACTCCAATTTCAACATTTTTGAGTAACGTCATTTTAGTGATATTTTTAGTTAAAAAAGTTAAATATGCAGACAGTGAGTAAGTTGATTCCGAAGGTGGTGCTTGCAGTGTTGAAATATAAAACTGAGAATAAAGGTATAAGTTTAGGTACTTATTTGTTATGAAAGAGGTTCTTAGGAAAGATACTTAATTAAATATCTGTAGAAAAAAGGCTTTTTTAGTCTCAACAGTTAAAAAAGTATAATTTAAATTTATCCAAATTTTCGCCTCTTCAGGGAAAAAAACTAGAGGCCATATCTTTTCTCGCAATTGTCCGATTTTAACGTTTTTTTTTTAGGAAATTTCGTTAACTTTTAAAAAACATATACAATATCCACAAAAAATGTATACTGTTTGGGTTATTCAGAATTTAATTTTACTATCCCTCGTAACTTTTTTTCCAGCTTCTTTTCGTTGAAGTATGTTATATAGAAATTTAAGGGGTGTCGAGAAAATGACTTTAGCGAAGTTTCATTGAAATCGGTACATTCGTTTAGGCGCTACAGTCAATAGAAACGCAGGTTTTTCAGCATTTTTATTTTTTTTCTCCGTTGTTAACTTATCAAATTATTTCGAAAGTTATATTTAGCATTTTTTCGTAACTCTGAATAATGCGAAATGATTAACTTTTCTTAATAAACCATATTAAAGGTACTAGAGGAAGACGTTTATGAACATTGGGCATTTAAGCCCTGTAAAGTGACATCAATGAGGATAAGACCTAATTGATATTAAAGACCACGTCATTATACAGTGATTCACCAAGTTTAATCAAAATCATTTGAGCCGTTTATGAGAAAATTATAAAAATGTGTTTCAGCGTCGATATAAAGTGACACTTCCGGTTAGCCGTTTTTGATATAAAAAGTTGCTGTCACATCTAAGGCATACACCTATCTTGAATACGTAAAGTCAGTTTCGTACGACTTTTGGTTTTTGAGCTAAACTGCTAACATACAAACACACAGACACACAGACCATTTTTCGGGACTTGGTCATTTCGACTCAGGATAGCTCAAAACGTGTATTTCCGTTGAAAACTCAGATTCAAAAATTTTCTCGATCGCAATACTTACTCTTTCTATATATTAGATATATACGTAAGTGAAAGTAAAAAAAAAGTTCTATATAAAATATATATATTTTTAAACAGCAATAAATATATATATTTTCACCACCTTTCAATATCCATAACAACAGGAAAAAAATATTTTCGTCTCTAATTGAAGTTAGCCTGCTTTTGCTCCATCGTCTTTTTTAAAGATTTTTCGATTAGTTCTTCTTAAAATTTAAATCTTCCTTTATTTTAGATTACCCATCATCTGAGGGAGAGAGAGAGAGTTGTTTTAGAGGTGCAATCGAAAACCTATTCTAACCAGTGTGGAAAGATTGAGATTCATTCCGTGGATCCATCACGAGATAAATTTCAGGCCTACCATGCAGCATTCGAACAGGTGCCTTTAGACTCGAGGATCTTAAAGCGGCAACACCTTGCAACAACTCTCTCGTCCATCACGGCCTCTTACAAATTTTTTTTTCATTGATTTCTTTTTAATGAGGGACACGTGCATGGTAAAAATTCTGGACTGAAATGTAATTTCCTCTCCCCTGAGTATCCCTTGCATTCCATATTCCTTCATCCTCCGTCCTCCAGGGATGAATTTTTCATCAAGGTGCATAGTATTCCGCTAAGAGGAGTAAAAGTACAGAAGGTGGGGCGGGAATTATCCTCGGCTCCCTGAATTATGAATAAACATGACCGAACGAGGGAAAGAGAAAAAAAAAATTTCACTGAAAACGGTCCCTTAACCCTAGAGTGCCATCAGTCTCTGGCCACCCCCTCCATAACTCCGCCTGAATTTACCTCAACTTCTCCTCGTCGGAATTGTTTTCCAAGGGGACTTCAGGAACAGGGGGAAGGGTCCTTTATGTCCTTCCGTGGTAGTTTGTGTCATTTGCAAGAAAATAGTTAGTAGAAAATTGGATCAGAGGAGTGGAATATGTCTTTCAAATACTATAATATTGAATTTCGTTTTTATAATCCAAAAACAACTAATTTATTTGTTTTAAAAAAACATTATGCAAGAACGAATAAATCTTTAGGAGTTGCTAACATTAAAATTTAAGAAACCATTGCTGCCTTTCTAGTTTAAGTCATTTACAGTTTCTTATGAATTTTAAATTAATCATAATCGGAAGTGAGAAAAAGTAGTACTTTTATTGAGCTCTAGATATATGTTTCAATATGCTACTGTTTTATTATTTTATTTTTTTATTTGTTAACATTTCTTTATATCTTTTGTTTAGATTTTTTTTTTCTACGATTAAGTTACAATATATATAAATATATGTTTAACAAAAAATTAAAACTTTGCATTTAATGTTTCAGGTCAGTAGAGGAGATAAATAAGGGTTCATTGTCTACACCATTTATTAGGTAAGATTTATTGCTAAAAAAAACAATATTTATTGGTATTTATCATTTTTATTTATTTGGTGTTTATTAGCATTTTATGTATATATATATATATATATATATATATATATATATATATATATATATATATATATATATATAAAACTTGTTGTCTAGTAACAATTTTATTAGAGATGAATGTAGGGAGCTAGCCAAATAGTAGTAACTTAAAAAAAACAACTCGTCTTTTGTTTGTTAATGCACTTATTATTTATAAGATCATTTAAATAAATTATATTCTCTAAATTAGTTAAATTGATTTGTATTTTCTTTTGTATTAATTCATCATCGTTATTCTAAGGGGACTAAGTCCCAGAATAAAGTTCAATTTTCTATTCTATTCTATTCTAAATCTTTTAAGTTGTCTGGTGATATTTATTTATTTATTTTAAAACATATATTTTTTTAATGAACAGTAAAAAATGTTGATTAATATGTCTTATACATTAATGTGTCTTATACATAATAATTTGTTAAAGACAAATTAATGAATAAAAACTTATAATAAGAATAAAATATTGTAGCAAAAAACAATATATATTAGCAATTCTCAATATAATATATTCTCAGAATATAGTACAGAGTTGTGGAAGTTACATAATATTATGAAAAAAAATTATAAACAATGTGCATGCGAGGCTTCACATTGACTTAACAGAACCCAGTAGTCTAGGTATCTTCAATTTTCTTAAAACACATTGTTTTGTTTATAATTTTTTGTCATAATATTATGTAACTTCCACAATTCTCTATATTTTTGTACTTGTCCGTTCTAGTCCTGAAGAAGACCTGCAAAGTCGGGTCGAAACGTTGTCTTTTAATAAAATAGTTTTTGCCTCTATTTAGCCTATTTATGACCGCCACCACCAACCATCTCGTTCCTTTATAATGCAACGGTCAACTATTAAATATTCAAAAACTATGAAAATTAAAAGTTTAAGGTGAAAGGTAGAAGAGTTGACAAAAACAATCAAAATTGAAGTTTATTCATATTTTAAAACAGCCCATAACTGACATTTGATGCAACCATATATTATGTAGACAGTAAAGTAGATTTTTATCTTGTTTCAAGGTTAAACTGAATGATACACAATCCAAAAACCAACGTTATTACCAAAAACCAAGAGATATTACAAAATGAGTTATATTTCGATAGCCAGGGGTAGAAGTTGAAATTTATCCCTCCCAAATAAGTAAAATAATATAGATTAGAAGATAGAGGTAAACGTTGATCCTTCCTATGTCAACACTTGGCGTGAGTCATCCCCGTTGAGTGAGCGGTTGGCAAAATATTTGACCACATGGGCTCCCGTGTTGGCAGCGGAGGAGGAAAATAGGGTTGGCTCAACCTAGTTTCTTGTTTTGTTTAAAGGCTGCTCCGTTGTTGTTGTTGGTTTCCGAGTTGTTATTTCACCGCCGCTAATTGATTTCGGCAGCTTCCTCTGATCTATAGTTCTAACTTGGCTTATTCCTTCATCAGAAGTCAAGAATTTCTGTATATAGAATTTTAGGAGAGCTCTTTTGTGACTAATTTATGTTTTAAATATAGCTATAATATAAGTGCAATATATAAAAGAAGGAGTAAAGTGTTTTCAAATATTTTTTAAAGGAGAAGCAAAATTGAGATTTTTCCACACCTGGAAAAAGTCTTAAATACGATTTTTTTAGTAATCGAAAAATAATTTTTTTCGCTGTAAGGAAGGGGGATCAATTTTTTTTACTTTCATTTATCTACATATGTACTGTAGTATAATAACTCTAGACCTGATATTATATTTCAATAGTTAGGTATCTATCGTCCGTTTATTTCGAAAAATCACCATGTGATCTTTTATAAAATTAAATAATGAATATATTTGATGAATTTTTCCTTTGTGATATTCCAACAATTTGCATTTACAATTAGTGTGATAGCTTTTGACCCGTCTAAGACAGACAATGCACATCTCGTAATTACATTTTAGGAAATTTAGTAATGGAAAATTACAATTTAATAACTAATAGTCGTACAATCCACAATTAAAGGATCGTACAATCCATAATCAACCGGTGATGTAATAAATAGGAATTTTATTATTTTAATGGTATTTATTATTTGTTTGTTGTAAGGTTTAAGCTTTAGTTCGGTTAAAAATGCAATTTAAAAATTGTATAATAGCCCAACATATCCAGGAAATAATTTCTTTTCAAAGTTGAACGGTAAGTGAAAGTTGTGTGTTGCGCACACCAGATTTGATTTTTTTTTTTTCAATAAGGTACGATTTATTCACATTTATTTTGCCTTATACCTCAAAAAGTAAACAAATGATACTGCACTGTTTTTTTTTAAGTTCATATAAAAGTGAATGTACGAATATAATATATATTATATTATAGGCGTTGGAGAAATGCAAATTCATTTATGTTTTCTATAATCGTTCTCTGAACACTATTATAAATGTCCTTTGAGACAGATTGTAATATGTTTCAATAAACACGTTTAATATAATAATTATGGTCGGATTTCTACCTCTGGGTGGGTTAATAGCTTTATTAAATATCTCAATTAAATCAAAAATACATATATTTATTAGCCAGATATATTTTGCGTAAACCACATGAGTACAGACTAATTATGCCATGTTTTGGTAACACTCTTGTACCATGGCAGTACCTCTTGTATTTCCATGTGTTCGAAGTTGACAACTGATGTAGTACAAATTATGAAGACAATGTAATACGTGCAAAGTTATTATGTGTGTATAATATACATATACATTTGTTTCATATGTGGGGTAGGAGAAAAATATCGATTAATGTTTGAGAACCGCGGCTCCCCTTATTTTAATCCCCCCTATCCCGCCCCCTGGTGTTATCCCCCCACCAACCTTTCGTCTGCTCTTATTCTTTATGCGTACATTTGTTGAAGGCTCAATCACTGATATTTTATCGATCTTGGAGGGGGTGACTTCTATGAATATCAACACGGACTTTTCTACTTGTTCAATTTTATAAGTTCATATTTCTATCCACCATAATCCCAAGTTATTAATATTTTTGGGTATGACTGGGAGAAATTTATTGAGGGATAATGCCCTTGAATTTATAAATGAACATTCTAAACAGTTAATGTATGTTTGAATTGGTAAAACATTTTATTCACTGCAAGATTTAGAAGGAAAGAGGAAAAATAGATTGGTCCAGTATGCCATCAAATAAAAATAATAATATTGAAAACGTAAAATATTTCGTCAAATAGAATGAAAATGGAAAATTTGCTTACTAAAGGTTAGTCGTCAGCAAATAAAATATGAACATATTAGGGAAATGTATAGTAACAAGTTATTGTATTACTTGTTGACTTTTCATTTTTCATCTTTTTTGCACAAGCTTCACTTAAATTAGGAGTATTCATGCGATCAGTGATAAGTATTGTAAACTTCTTAAATGTGTAAAGTTGTGAAAATTATTTACGAAATGTGTGTTAAATTTGGCCGCTAGAGCACTTTTTATCAATTTTAACACCAGCCTAGGGATAAGTGTTGCTAACTTCGTAAAGGCACGGGGAAGGTTAAGATTTTGATGTGTTTGATTCTTTGTTCTTTGTGTACAATATCAACAGAAATGGAATGAAAGGGCAGCTAGGATTCTATCTATCTATTCACCAAGTTCTTTGCTTTCTGAATCATATGAATCTTTATTTCTGTTTTCTAATAAAGCATTTTTAACCAAATAATCCACCAATTCAGTCTTTTCACATCACTTTGGCATTTTAAAAATAAATCAATTAAGAGCTCACAAATATTTTACACTGTATAAGCATAACCTTACTATAAATTCTAACACTTTAGCACATTAGCACAAAAAGAATATTGACCATTCATTCAAAATTTGTGCTGACTGCTTAGCATGAAAGCACATTAATAATTGACAAGTGTATGAATACCTCTATAGTCTTTTAACTATGGTAAATCGAAAAATGCTCTATTTTGATAGTTCGATGACTCCAAATCCATTCCCTAAGAAGTGGAGGAGAGAATGTTCTATAATTCGAAATTTTCCAAGAAGGATTTTTTATATGAGGCTATTTATATATAAACTTCATGCATACCATACATATTTTCAAAAATATAGTAAAAACTCTTAATAATTCGAATTTGTTTATTGTATTCCCTAGGATTTCGAACTATCTTCAACAATCTATACTGACACTATAAAAATATATATTGTCAGTTGCAATTCAAGTTTGTTTTATTAACGATCATTCTAATGTTTTATTGGAAACTTAGTCACATCGCCAAGATTTATCTTATTTTTATCTAATTATTTGAAAGTTATTCGGGTTTTTTTCAGCGATTCAACTTCGAAGTTGATTAAACTGAATCGTTTCGTACATCAACCGAAATGAGTATTGTATCCCATATGTATTATATAACTTCATGATTATTAAAGTGATTGTACGTGATGAAGAAATGATACCGATAAAGGCCGAAATGATGGCTGCTAACTGTCCTGAAGGGCCAGAGATAGCCCTACGGGACCGCTCGCTCTATCTGAAAGGGAGATAACAGCCCATTCATATTTCCCGGCCAGTCCTCCCGAGTTGGGCATCTATTTCGTCCCGATATCCCCTTTATTGTCCTCTGTCTCTGTCGGGATTTGATGAAATATTGCTCTCGGACGAAACCAGGTCATTGGTGAATTTTATCACAATTTTTATCTTACGTCCTTACATCCGTTAATAAGAGGTAAAGAAATCTATCGTGTGAACTATCTCTTAATAAATAAATAAATAATAGTTATAAAAGGATAATTCCGAAGGTTCGATACTGATACCACCAATTTATACACCTCCATCTCCCGAACGTCGTCCGAACCCAACCCTGCGATCAGCCTTTACGCAATACTTTCACCTTCGCTTAGGTGAAGCAATACTTATCCCTCAGACGCTAACAATCGGCACAGCGTATAATAACTTGACC